AAATAAAGAAAAAATGGTCAATTTTATTAATTATTAAACATTGAGGTTAATTTTTTACAATCAAGATCAAATTAAAATGAAAAATAAACGTTGAGCATTAAAATTTTTATTGTATCAATTTTAGTAATTATTCCGTCAAATTTTCATCGAAAAACTAACATCTGATAATCATTTTGTTAATTTCAATTAATCAAATGAGTGTTTTATAATTCTTAACAGCTCTACTTGTTTTCAGACTGGGCTACAACCCATTTTGTTTCTCTTTTGTGTTGGGCTCTTTGTCCTAAATTATCTCACAAACCACATGATGCGAATTGATAACACATGTAAAATTATTTTGTAGATACATATAATGATAACATATAATATCAAAATTTTTGAATTGTTCGTTCAGCTCAGTTGGTAGAGCGTAATACTCTTAATCTTGTAGTCGTGGGATCGAATGTCACGGTGGGCAATTCATAATTCTGACTGCCGGAGGTCTTTCACGGAAGTTACTCTCAACCAGTCGTTGGGGACAGCCTACTACCCTACCTCTTCTTTATCCCATTATAAATGAGAATAGAGTCAGCTAATTTTTTTTTATATAATATCATAATTTTTATAACTCTATACTTCATCCAGATATATAGAACTTTTAACCTTAACTTCGATTAATGAAGTTTTAATATTCAATTATTTGAAAATAAGTAATACAATAACTTTTTAATTTTTCTTAACAAATAACCTTCGGTGGATATTTTCTATATGATTGGAACTCAAAATCTTATTTAACCTATATTAAACTTCTTAGTATTTACCGCTTGACCCAACCACTTTGATAAAAAAAACATTATAATAATTAACTTGTCGTAAATTAATTGGTATTATACTATTATATCCATTTTCGTTCCTTTTTCATCGGCTTTGACCTAGGGTTTTTCATTGCCTCTATACATCATCCTGGCACTCTCTCCTTAGGGTTTCGCGATCTGCAACGCGCTTCGATTCTGAGTTTCTAACAGTCATGCCTCGGTAAGGATCTTACCAATTTATTCAATTCTAAAAGAAATTACCATCATCAGTAGGAGGTTTTTCATTAGCATTTATCGATATGTTTATCTGGATTTAAATTTGCAGGTACTATTGTGATTATTGCGACACTTATTTGACGCACGACTCCGTGAGTTCTGTGATTCAATTTTATCTTTTTTTTATTAAAAAAATCTGTTTCTGTTTACTGCAATCCTTTCATATTTTAGTCTATATAACAATATTAAAAAATTAAGGTTTATTAGTTTGATTTTTGGGTTTAGAACAATTGCTAACAAATTTGTTTGGGTTTAAATTTCAGCCATCAGTTAGAAAACAACATAATGCAGGATACAAACACAAGGTAATTGTAGAAAATTTTCTCTTTGTATTTCGTTTATTAATGATTGAGAGTTATAATTTCCCCCTTATTATTTGTGCAACTTTAGGCAAATGTTAGAATTTACTATCAGCAATTTGAGGAACAACAGACCCAGAGCCTAATTGACCAGAGGATCAAGGAACATCTTGGCCAAGTGGCAGCTTTCCAGCAGGTCGGTGGTTCTTTTAATCAACATCTAATGGCTCAGAGGCCCCGACTCCCCATTCTTCCAACACCTGGTATGCAACCGTTGATTCCAGGGATGAGGCCCCCTATTCTGCCAAGACCAGCTCCAGGTGCTCCTGGTAAGATTTTTCACATATCTGCATTATTATTGTTGTTGCTAGTTAAGGTTTGGATGTTTGGTTAATAATATAAATTCAATCATGAATTTATGTGGCAATAGTGAAGTCGGTGAATTTTCTTTTCCATACTTCTTTTGTTATCACAAAGCTGTAGTTCTGTATAGCATATACCTTAATACCTTATACTATCTTCTTTTTAATCAAGTCATTGGCTTTTCGATTATAGATCGCAATTTTGAACACAGGATGAAATTGAGATGTTTTTTCATTGGTGACATTACCAGGTTATGTTCCTGTTCCAGGCATGCCTCCAATGCTGGCACCGCCTGGTGCTCCTTTGCATGGTCAAGTAAATGGCCCTCCACGGCCTCCTACACTGGCTCCACCACCAGCAAATCTTGGAACTGCAATGACACCCACTTCTTCTGACGGAGCACCTTCCATGGTTGCGTCTGCACCGTATGCGACTGTTTCTGCAGCCCCAACAAGTGGAGGACTTGAGAATGCCAATCCCCACCCTTCTGAAGCTAATAATTAATCTAGATAAATTTACATGCTTTGATTACCTATCTAAAGTTAACCCATTGAATATGAAGCTTTTTGATGATTAAGGTCGTATGGTAATACCTTTTTTAGAAGGGTAGCTTGTCTGCTAGACTTGTAGCATATGGAAAATGTGATAATTTTATAAAAGAACAATATCATGACTCATTTTGTATCATTTTTTGTTGTTGTTTTTTTATTATTGTGTTATTCTCATAATGAGTGATCCTGCCTTATTGTTTTTAAACTAGACCTAATGAATGAAGACTCCATAGATCTTCGGTAATCTTTTACCATGACCATACATTTTTTACAGGCAACCTGAGCCAACAAAAAATTCTTCTGATTCTGGTGATGATGTTTGATTCTGCTTTTCCATTGGTGGCTACTTTGTTTCATCGAGTTTGGTGCTGAATGGAGGATAGTTTTGTACTGCCATCACTTCTTTATACTCGAGATTTTGGTTATATTTTGATTGCAATGCAGTTGAAAGTTTCTTTTCCACCCATAGGTCTAAAGCTTCTCATGTTCTCCTGTGTGTTATTTGCGAGGAAGTAAAATATATATTTTTTGTTCATAGAAAAGGTAGCAAGGAAATAAAATATTACTAGTTATCTCTAGATGATTTTATTTATACAACCATGTTTTATCATGTAATGGGAGCCGATGTTAGCTGGACTTGGGTGAGTTCTGGATACAAATATGTGGTACAGATATACTTTCTTAAAAAGAAGTTTTTCACAGGCTCTCATGGCTGCCTATTTTTTTTTTTCAGGCTGTAGGGCAAGCATCAAGTCTTACTAATGAATTATGGGTTTGTTTGTTTCGGTGTAATTGGTTTTCTGAAAAATAAATTATAATTTTTGGAAAATGAATTCTGAAAAATATTTTCTGGTTAGAGAGCAAATATCGCAAGGATATTAACTAAGTAGATCATATCAATAGATTTGATAGCTAATCTTTCAGTAATATGTAATTAGTATGTTTTAGCTATTAGTGTTTCGCTGAGCTAGTTACCTCAGCCTTCGGATTGTTTCCGTGGGTGGGTTAGTAGATCCAGCAGGTGAAGAGCAATAGATAGACTAAAACCCAATTCAGACCAATATAGATTCAGAGTGCGTCTCAATATTTTTAAAAAGGAATGTGTTTTGGTAAAATTTATTGTTCAGTTGAGTCGTAGTTCCAGTAGAGAGGTCTGTATTTTTTGTAAAGTTTGAATATTTTAATTTAAAGCTCCTCAGTGTAAAAATTTTATTTATTCTTCAGTTTATTTTACAGTTATTTTATATTTAAAGAAAGTAAGAAAAATTGCTCAATCACTTTGGTGATTCTGTATATCACCTTAAATCGGTCCACTATTTACTTTCTTTTTCTCTCTCTCACATACATAGCATGTTGCCCATTATTTTACTGCATTGAATCAATCTTTCAAACCGAATAAATAAATTAATTCCGTTTAACAGACTATTACTTTCTTCTTTACTCGCATACATATCATGTTGCCCATTATTTTACTGCATTGTAGTAATACATGATCTGGTCAATTATTTTAAAGGCTAAAATATAGAAAATAAAATAAACGTTACGTTAATATGATAATTACTTTAATGTAATCTTTTAAAACTTTGAATAGTTGTAAATAAAACTCTCATCTTTTATTTTCAAAATCTTAAAATTAATATTTTTGGGCCACTGGCTGCACCAGCTCTAATACTGGTTGTTAGAGTTGGTATTCATTATTTTTCGTTTATTTTCTTATATAATATTTTTGCTTCTCTTTAAATTTTTAGTTTTTAATAATTCTGTCTTTATGATACCTTGAACGGAGCTAAAAAAATTATTTTGGTCGTTAAATTCAGATAAATTTAGATAAAATTATTTATAAATTATATGAAGAATTTTATAAAAGAACAATATCATGTTTGTTTTTAATGTTATTTTATTATTGTGTTATTCTCATAATGAGTGATCCTGCCTTACTGTTTTTAAACTAGACCTAATGAATGAAGATTCCATAGATCTTCGGTAATCTTTTTACCATGACTATACATTTTTTACAGGCAACCCAAGCCAACAAAAATTCTTCAGATTCTGGTGATGATGTTTGATTCAGCTTTTCCATTGGTGGCTGCTTTGTTACATCGAGTTTGGTGCTGAATGGAGGATAGTTTTGTACTGCCATTACTTCTTTATATTCAACAGAATTTTGATCATATTTTGATTGCAATGCTGTTGAAAGTTGGAAGTAAAATATATATTTTTTGTTCATAGAAATGGTAGCAAGGAAATAAAATATTACTAGCTATCTCTTGATGATTTTATTTATACAACCGTGTTTTTTCATGTAATGGGAGCCAATGCTAGCTGGACTCAGGTGAGTTCTGGATACAAATATGTGATTCAGATATACTTAAAAAAGGCTGTTCACAGGTTCTCATGGCTGCCCATTTTTTGCAGGTTGTAGGGCAAGCGTCAAGTCTTGCAAATGAACTATATCTTGATTCGGTTGGAGACAATTGGGCAATTGTGCAGGGCATCAAGTTTCAAATTTGGAGATGGCTTTGAATTTGCTGGATTTCTTTAGAAATCTTTAAAATTTTGCAAATTCAGTTTCATATCTTGGCTAACACTGGTGAGGGGATAAAGGAAAATCCTGAATCGAAAATTACGATTTAGATAAGTGTTGATTGTCATGAACAGAACTCAATAGGAAATATAAGCTGGCTCAGGCCATTTTATTGTTGGATCCTTGTTTGTATCATGGATCATTCTTTTTGCGTCTGTTGACACGTCCATTCAGATATGGATGATTGCATGTGTACGTAGGCACCCTTTCACATATTTGTGTTCTACTTGGTATGTGTTATTCATTGCTGAAAGGAAACATTTTGTTACAGAAGTGAGTTGATATCATCAGCTATGTTCATTGCATCACCAGCTGCTCCATACAGCCCTTTTCTCGACAGTCCAACACAGTACAAACCGTTCCTTCCCTTCCAGTGGTTTGGGAAGCTCGCCTTTGAAATTCCATCATCATTCAGCAGGCAATCATCTCCCTGCATCAAAACATTAGAACTTGTCGCGGTCAATTAAATGCAATGTTCAATCATCTTGACTTTAACTTGTAATGAGAGTCGTGTTTCAATTAATTATATTGAACATTGTTAGTTTTATGTTCTTAGAGAAGGCAACACCCATGTCATGTTAGTTACCTTGAGCCAGACATTTGTGGACCGCTTGAAGCCGGTGCAGAAGACGATTGTGTCGAAGGGATGAGTTTCTCCGTTATCAAACACCACCTCATTGCCTCTTATGATTGATATACCTGGCAAAACCTGCAACCAGTTATACATTTTTAGATCATTCAAAACTTACCCTCCTTAACTTAGAAGAATTTTAAGTTTAAGTGTTAAAAATAATATTATTAAAAAGAGATATATTTTAATTCTCAAACATAAATTATTAAAAAAAATCTGATATGTATATAGGTTTAAAAACACATTTAATACCTCAACTATTTATTTTGTTACGTTTGGGTCACCTAATTATTTTTTTAAAACCATGTCTAATATTTATGTTTTGGTTCTATTTTGATCACCTACCATAAAAAAGTAGACTGTTGATGTGGGTTTTTTAAAAATAGTTGAGTGATCAAAATGGAACAAAAGTGATAGTTGGGGTATTAAGCATATAGTTTACCCATAGTGATACAAATGTTCTTTGAAGTAATCCCAGATTACCTGGATCTCCCCGGACTTGATCTTCTGACAGGTACCTAAATCAAGAACAGGGTACTTCCCATAAGCATCTTTCATGGATAATGGACCCTCCTCGGGCCTACGGATTCCATACTTGGTCAGGTCTCCGTAAACAAGCTTGCTAAGCATAACCAACAATGCGTCCACCATATTAACTGGTATATACTTCAACAGAATCAACCCCCAGTAAATCATATCCTTTGAAAGAATGTGAACCTGCGACACCATATATTTACATATGTACAAATATCAACTTTTGCAGTTTAAGAGAAGACTATGAACCACCAGAAGTAGAATTTAAGTTCATACAACTTTATTAATTATTATTACCGGGCTTCGGACAACTAAAGACGTTTCTGCACCGTGATTTGCCAATTCAATTGCGATCTCCATCCCGGAATTGCCCGATCCCACAACCAAAACCTTTCGGTTTTTAAAAGCCTTGCCATTTCTAAACTGCGTTGAATGAAGAACATCACCGGGGAAAGCATCCAATCCTTCAATCTCAGGCGTAAAAGGATTGGTCGTTTCGCCACTAGCCACCACCAAGAACTTCCCAATGAACTCCTCTACCTCGCCGGACCCAAAACTCCTGGCCTTAACGGTCCACTTCCCGGTCGCTTCATTGAACTCGGCCGACTCGACGGTTCTCCGGTACAGAGGGCTGATCTTGAAACGAGAAACGTAATCGTCCAAGTAGCTAATGAACTGGTGCTTGGAGATGAATCTGGGGTAAGTGTCGGGGAACGACATATGAGGAAGCTGGCAGAATTGTTTGTCTAAGTGAAGATGGAGACGATCGTAGGTGTATTTCTTCCATAGAGAAGCAGAGCAATCCTCTCTTTCGAGAATTATATAAGGGATTGAGTGGTGGTAAAGGCAAGCCGCCATGGCCAGCCCCGAAGAGCCGGCTCCGACAATAATGACCGGTTCCTGTTGCATTGCTGGACTCGTCGGTTCTGTTGATTCCGACTTTGCTTTGCTCTTGCTACAGTGCCACAGTAACAATCAAAATGGCTCACTCATGGTAACAGAGGTATGCGCCTATATTTATACTATTATATTAGGCTTTATTATATTAAAAACTCCAATAATTATTATTATTTTGTTGAAGAATAACCCTTAGTAGATTTTAAAAAAAAAAAACTCTCAAAGTGCACATGTAGGACTAACTCCCGTCCTACCCAGTGCGTGAACAAGTCTTGCTTTTTAAAGGACGCGAGATACTATGCGTTTTTCGGTTTACTCTATTTAATATAATTATTTAATACATCGCTTTTCCTAAAACGCGAGGTACTGAAGATATTGAGAAATTATCGTTCGCAGAAGTTTTGAAATTTAAAATTTGAAAAGATTTCCCGAACCTCGCGCTTCATAAAACGCGAGGTACCATTAACCTCGTCCCCTTAAACTTATTATATTTTTTCATTGTACTACTTTTGTTTCGAACAATTTTCAACACGATTATTACATCGCTTAAAATGTCTCTTATGTGCCTATACTAATCATATCTATCAAGCTATTTTAGCTTGTTCTCTATGCACAAAACCAATCATTGGATCCATTTTAGACACAATTTTGTATCTTCTTATTTTTGCATAAAACAAGCTTGGGTATCATTTTCTACGTGATTTTTAACTCGCCTATAATATTTTGTATGTTTTTATATTGGCCTCAACTGGAAGATAAATTCCAATACTACATGAAGAATCTTATAAATTACAAAAATTTCGATATTAAATACCCAAACATGCCTATAAGCACTTGTGGTTTGTTGGAAAAACTAAATACCTCGCTCTTTGGAAAATGTGAGGTATATTGAATACTTTTCGCGATAAATTTCTCGGGACGGTTCAATATCTTAGGGACCTTGCGTTCTGGGAATTCGAGGTATTAAATAATCATATTAAATTGTGTAATCTGAAAAATGCATAATACCTTGTATCCTGTAAAAAACAAGACATGTTCACTCACTGGGTAGGACGCGAGTTAGTCCTACGTGTACACTTTGGGTAGTATTTTTCTAACAAATCTGCTAAGAGATTATTCTTTAAAAAAATTAATTGGGGTTTTTAATATAATAACACCATTATAATATGACTTAGTTTGTGAGTTAAATTATATGGATTATTTGGTAATTGAATTATTTTAATTTTACAATTGAATTAATGCTTAATGCCCAAATAAGTGCTCAAACTATGTTTTTGTGCTAAATAAGTGCCTACATTTTTTGGCCAATCCGAGTGACTAACGTTACAAACGTTAGTACTTTAGTTGCCAAAGCCGTCAACAACGTTAGTTTTTCTTGTTAAATGACACGATTCACAACCTAGTAATTTTAGAAATTTTATATAAAATTAAAAAAATAAAATTATATATTTTTAAAAAACACATAATTTTCAAAATAACTCATAAACTTTGAAAACATTCATTCCAACCCCTAAACCTATGCCGAATGCCGCCCTTTCCCGTCGAATAAGCTCCACCCGACCTCCTCTCCCTCGGTGACAAAAACCCATAACGTTCCTACGCAATTTCGATGGTGAATCGGCAACAACTACATCGGCATATAACTAGGATGATGGCAAGGACTACGTCAATGGCAGTGGTCGTGTCCGGAGAGGGTGGCGACGGCAGATTAAGGTTAGGATTTAGGATTTTGGGACTGTTTTATAATATAAGGAAAGTTAGGGCTTTTTATAAATATATTAATATTTTTAAAAAAATAAATTTAAAAAATATCAGGTTGTGACACATGTCATTTAACGGGAAAAACTAACGTCTTTGACAGCTCGAACACTTAAAATACTAACGTTTGTAAAAATAGGCACTCGGATGGGAAAAAATGTAGGCACTTATTTCGCACAAAATGTATAATTTGAGCACTTATTTAAGCATTTAGCCTTGAATTAATCAATTCTAGATTATTTAATTCTTAAAAGACTTCAATTAAAAATTCTTACTAGACTTGCATCAAAGAAATGATTTTTAAATAATAATTATTATTTTAAAACAACGATAATTAAAATAATATCATATATTTGATAAGAATTCGAGTGACGTATATTTCACACTTTTTTATAAAAAGTTGACATATTTATTTAATTGATATTTGTAAATATATTATATGAAGTGGGTTATAAGACATGAAGGATTAAACGAGTCACATAATTCATATGAGTGATAGAATAAAGTGATTTTAATCTTCCAAATCACAAGACATAATTCATAATAAATATATTGAAAGAACATTTTCGCACCCATTCGCATAGGAGTGTTTAATGAGTTGAGCAGTTCGTGAGCAATTTAAACTCGACCAGGTCAAAACTTGGTAAAAGCTCGACTTGGGTTTTGGTCATCGGGGCGGTAGGCGTGGGTTTAGTGGTTGAAATGAAGGTTTTCAAAGTTTTGAGTTTATTTCAAAATTTGTGTTTTCTATTTTTAAAAAATATATTTATTTTAAATTTTAAATTTTTAATAAAAAAAAAATTAAAATTATCAGGTTGTGACACGTGTCATTTAATGGGAAAAATTAACACTGTTATCGGCTCAGACACCTAAATGGGTAACGTTTGAAACATTAGATACCTAGATGAGACGGAAATTAGTTCACCTATTTGGGAAAAGTCGTATAGTTTGGGCACTTATTTTGTTATTAAGCCTTTAATTAAATATCAATTGTGTTAATATTTGTAATAGGCTTAATACAAAAATAAGTGCCTAAAGAATGTATCGAAAAACGTTTTAGTGTCTAAAGATTTTTTTTTGCTAAAAAGATGTGTCTAAAGTTTTCTCCGTTATACTTTTAGGTACCTAATGTTAAAAAAATCGTTAAGTGACATGTGTCACGTTTATATTTTTTAAATATAAAACATTATTTAAAAATATTATTAAAAAATATATATATGACACGTGTCACTTAACAGTTTTTTTTAACCGTAAACACCTAAAAGTATAACGGAGAAAACTTTATGCACCTATTTTTAGCAAAAATTATTTATACACTAAAATATTTTTCGAGACATTCTTTAATTACTTATTTTTGTATTAAGCCTATTATAAATATTAACCCTAACTCGCAATGAAATACCATGCGACACCCACCTTTTTGCGACACCCACCTTTTTCATGCATTTGGATGACTGGTTTTTCATGCATTTTCATGCATGTGGACGGCTGATTTTTCATGCATATTCATGCATTTTTTCATGCATTTTTTTTTAAATAATGCTTTGGAATTAATCCATGGTGATGCAAACTTATGAGGGAGTGCAGTGCGACACTGAGGAATTAATCCATGGTGATGCATTTTCTTTTACAAGACTTGATCTTTCTTGCTAGCTATTTTCCAAACAATCAAAAGTCAAATCCTATCTATCTTAATATATAGATTCGGCAGGTTTGATTTTTTTTGTTTTTATATATTAATAACTGAATAAATTAATTTAATTACATAAATCAAATTGATTTTAAATTCCAAATTGGAACAGAAAAACTGAATTTATTCTTAATCGAACTGAACCAGCCAAACTATACAAAATTTTGTTTTTCAATATCTTTTAAATAAAATAAAAATAGTTGTAAATTAAATAAATTTGTAATTAATTAATTAGATTGATTGATTTCATATTAAAATTATATTAGTTAAGTATAGACATATAATATAATTAAGTGATTTATTCTATTTGGTTATTCAAAATTGATACTATAATTGAATAATTCTTTCAAACTGAATAAATAAATTAATTCTGTAGAGGCTAAAATGACCGTGTCGATTATTTTAAAGGCTAAAATAAAGAAAATAAAATAAACGTTACGTTAATATGATAATTACTTTAATGTAATTTTTTAAAACTTAGAATAGTTGTAAATAAAACTCGTCTTTTATTTTCAAAATTATTTTTTTTCTGGCTAACGGCTGCACCAGCTCTAGTACTGTTTGTCAGCATTCGTATTTATTATTTTCCGTTTATTTACTTATATAATATCTTTGCTTCTTTTTCTTATTTTTAATAATTATGTTTTTATAGTATCATGAGCAAAGTTAAAAAATTTATTTCGAGTGTTAAATTTAGTTAAAATGTATTTTGGAGTGTCAAATTTAGAAATTATATGAATATATTTTTTAAATGAATAAAAATGAATAATGAGTGTGAAATTATGTTTAAAGATGTTAATATTTTTTTTTCAAAATATGTTAATTTTGTTTTTCTAAAAAAATATTTTTAGATTAAACTTATAAAGGTTTCTTTCCAAAAAAATTTGGGGTGTCATGTCCTCATTGTATACCGGCTCCGTTAGTGTATTGCTCGCTTTTATATGCATTTATGACATATTTTTCTTTTTTATGGCATTTTTTTGTCGTTTGATTGCTCTTTTCGTTTTATTTTCAAAATTATTTTTTTTCTGGCTAACGGCTGCACCAGCTCTAGTACTGTTTGTCAGCATTCGTATTTATTATTTTCCGTTTATTTACTTATATAATATCTTTGCTTCTTTTTCTTATTTTTAATAATTATGTTTTTATAGTATCATGAGCAAAGTTAAAAAATTTATTTCGAGTGTTAAATTTAGTTAAAATGTATTTTGGAGTGTCAAATTTAGAAATTATATGAATATATTTTTTAAATGAATAAAAATGAATAATGAGTGTGAAATTATGTTTAAAGATGTTAATATTTTTTTTTCAAAATATGTTAATTTTGTTTTTCTAAAAAAATATTTTAGATTAAACTTATAAAGGTTTCTTTCCAAAAAAATTTGGGGTGTCATGTCCTCATTGTATACCGGCTCCGTTAGTGTATTGCTCGCTTTTATATGCATTTATGACATATTTTTCTTTTTTATGGCATTTTTTTGTCGTTTGATTGCTCTTTTCGTTTTATTTTCAAAATTATTTTTTTTCTGGCTAACGGCTGCACCAGCTCTAGTACTGTTTGTCAGCATTCGTATTTATTATTTTCCGTTTATTTACTTATATAATATCTTTGCTTCTTTTTCTTATTTTT